CATCCCTGCAGATTTAGCAATTTCATTAGCTATAAAATTTATGTGTAAATGCTCATGTAGACAAAGACCCAAATGTTTATAGGCATGACCATATTATATTCCACGCAAATATCTCCACATTTAAAAACGAAGCTAGATTGAGGCTTTGAAGGCATTAAGAAGTGATACACACAAGGAAGAAAATGTATGGATGTCAACGTCTTTACTATGAGGAACACACCGTTTCGGAGTAAAAACTTACTCCTTCATCAGGTGAATTAACGCTATGAGGCAGAGAACATATATATGTACCTGTAAGAACAACAAAAGTAAAAAGATAGCAAAGGAGGAAACGTAACAAGGGAAGCCAACAAGTAATTGGCGCTAACTACCCCGGCCTCCCGTTTGCCCATTGTCCATTGCCCATTACCAATAATTCATAAGATAAGTTTTGGCTTTAATTTGTCCATTGATAATCAAATATCACGAATTTGGATACGATGACATTCATCAACCAAGTCAGCGAGCCTGACCACCCTATCCCGTTAGTCGCCTTTTACGACAAGCATTGTCGCCTTCTGTGGCAAGCATGGGTTCCTGAAGACCTGTTATGCAATGCCATATTTCATATCGTCAGGGATCACAGGTGTGATACCAGTCTCCCTCAAGGAGACGTCTGATAAAACTCTTTGCTTCGCCAATGCTTCGTCTCGCCCAAACTTGTATCTGGTACCACTAGCAACGATACAATGGCGTACAAAGACTTACAATGAGTCAAGCATCCGTCACTCGATTTCCATTTTCTTGCATTTAGAAAGCACGATTGATTGTTTGATTGACTACATTGTTTGAGTTAATTGATTGGTATATGATTGAATTATCTGATTGAGTTGTTTGATTGAGTTGTTTTATTAAATTGTTTTATTAAATTGTTTGATTGAGTTGTTTTATTGATTGATTTACTTGTTATATTGATTGTATTGTTTTATGAAGTTGATTGATTGTTTTATTGGTTGTTTGAGTCATCCATGCGGATAGCGTAATCTCGATTAATGTATTCAGGAACCTCTCGTGAACAACAGTTATTGAAAATGCCACCGAAAAATCAAACAACTTAAGATTTGGCTTCTGCGGAGGAATCATCTTTATATTTCACATAATCGTTAACGAACTTCTTGAATGTTGTCACGCCATTCATTCAGACAGATCTCGAAAATATGTTAATATTTACGCGAGGACAACGGATTAGACATCGCGAGGCCGGTTCACAATCCGTAAAAACCTGTGATATGTCATGAATAGCCCATTGCATCTCCTGTACAAAGACTTTCTTTTGTACGTGTTGTCACAGAGCCACAAACTTTGGTCAATGGATCAGATAAAAGCAGGACTGCTGGAATCGGTTGAGGTCAACTTCCCATGACATAAACCCCTACTTGACAACCGCTTTAAGAAAGTGCCGCCATTCATGTACACAGCCCTGTGGGTGAATGAACGACCTAGCGAGGCCATGGCCAGTAGCGCCGCCTAGTGAGAAGAAGACCAACCGAGAGTTGAATCTTCACATACTCCGGTGCCATCTGCAGAACCTTGGTTAGCAATGGCACAGTAATTTATGAGAGTTTGTGAGTGAGTCGGATTTTACGCCGCCTTAGCAATATTCCAGCAATATCACGGCGGGAGATTCCCACATTGTGCCTATGATATGCAAAGAATCGAACCTGGACTTTCGGCACGAGGAGCGAACGCTTTTACCACTAGGCAACGCCAGCGGCCTTGATGATATGATCAACTTTATGTGTTTTCATTTTTCAAATGTTAAAGTTTGCAATCACAGATAATGTTTATCACCACTGTAAAATGCAAGGATATCAGTATATCATTACCATCACCATCACCATCGTCGTCACCATCATTATCATCATCACCACCACCATCATCATCAGCATCGCCACCGGTATCGTTATCACAGGTATATACGGTACTCCACACAGAGATTAACGAAGGGCATCTATTTGATCAGGGGTTATTTAAATATCTATAATAGCTGTGTGTAGGTATATCCAGTTTCTGTCAGTGCAGTAAAATACCAAGTCGGTCATCTGTGAACACGGTTCTTCAGCATCGGGCATCAGCTGATTTTCTTACGTCTTTGACACACAAAGACCTCTTGACATGATGTAACTTACCAGGAAGAGGGGATAGTCGGATTGCAGACACGAGGTGGATGTCGTCCCAATCTCATTAAAATCAGACCTTTGTTCTCGCTACCGCTAAACAAAGATCTGAGGATATCCCGTTAGGGGTCACGTCAGAACGACCTTTCATCCGACCAATCAGTGCATCGCTTACCAGATTATGAAAGTGACAGTCGGAATGTGATTTCTAATCATGCAATCTCGAAACCTTTAAAACGGGGGTTTTCGAACGATAGTAACGTGTTTAACGACTGAATCCTTACAATCTAGACCATATATTAGCCAATCCAGAATGTTTTTTGTTCAGGTTTCAAATTTGTTATCGAGAATTTGTCAAAATATGTTTTGAAGCGTAGTCGCCAATTTGAAATTTGTGCTGTAAGCTGCCTTATGATTGGTCATTCATTTTGTCGGTCAAAGTTCGCGCAAGGTCGGTCTGACGTGACCCGTAATGGAATGTCCTCAGATCTTTGTTTAGCGGTAGCGAGAACTAAGAGCTGATTTTAATGAAATTGATGTCGTCCAAATAGTGATACGAACTACCAGAAACCGTTTCATAGATCATGCTTTCTGTATAGGAAACTATTCATTACTGCTGTACAGTATGAAATATATTAGAACAGTAAAAGAAAATAACGACACCAATTCTCAAACTGTTTAAAATTATATTCCAAGGATATATATATATATATATATATATATATATATATATATATATATATATCCACAACCGGGCAAAAGAAAATGCCTGTCATTCTAATATCACTCTTGTGTACAGTGAAATTGCGACCCCCGTGTTCCTTAAGACGTCATGTGCACGTCACCTGTTGTGAGACACTCATGATATGATGCATGTAGTATCGCCTAAGATACCCGAAGCAAATATATCTCCATGGAATAACCATTTCTTGTTTGTTTCATTTTTAACCACCATCAAACATGGGTGTATACTTACTTTTGCCCGGCAGTTTACACAAGTTACAATTACTTCCCAATCGTTCGATCACTGAGACGATTGGAACATGGTGGTCGCAATTACTAATTGCACAGTGAGGTGAGGTGAAATGGGGTTTAACGTCGCGTCCACGATTATTGCACTTTTATAGCGATGTGCATACACGCGTGTGTGTGTGTGTGTATGTGTGTGTGTGTGTGTCTGTCTGTCTGTCTGTGTGTCTGTCTGTGTGTCTGTGTGTCTGTGTGTTAAAATGTGGGTCTGTTGGATATTACATAAAACATTCATCTTGAGCGGGATGGTAGTTCGAGTTGGATAAGCATGTTAACTATGATTTTCTTAAGGTAGAGAATGCCGCGCATGAATGTATTAATGTGATTCCCGGGTACATGGGGGCTTTTCGGCAGGAATATCCACACAGAGGATACTTAAATGGGGATCGGGTGAACATAAAGATTCAAGATGTTCGGCCTGGTAGAAGTGTGTAATCAAACCGCACATCATTGGTCTTTGATTGACTGTGGCGTCAAAACAAACTCATTCATGTTCTTGATCTGAATGTTCATCTTAATTGTTATGGATAGTCACGGAGCCGTGATCCAGAGAACAGGGTGTCATTAGATAAAAGTGAAGTAATAATGGGATTACCAGAAAAACGGGGTATAACACCCAAGCCAATAAGCTTCGCTCAGGAACACCAGAGTAAGTCAGTACAAGATTTAAAACTGCCCCATAAGTAAGTATGCCAGGCTAGTCGGGTATTGCTACTTGTATATGTGAAAACAAAGTTATTAAAATGAATAGCAAAACTGATGAAAGTCACCAATAAACGTGTATAAGTACTAGTGTTATATCGTCACTGCAAAAATAATGAGTGTTTGTCTTAAGTATTAACATTCAAACACGTGATATCTCTATTAGCGATATTGTCTACGTTCTACCGGTGAGTAAGCGTTAGGCTCACTATCTAGTATTATAAATGTCCATTTAGGAATTTGAAACTAATCTGATTACAGTAACAGGACACTGCTTAAGTGTCACGTACAAATGAGAAAGTGGAATCCCGTCAATTAGGAGGTCGAACCTTAAAACTATATAATCAACATTAAAATAAGCAACATCGGAAAAATGTATATGCATATAATATCTGGCAATATACACCAAGATCACCTTCTTCAAAAATATGTTTTAAAAGCCGGTTGATATTCTTTTGCGTATTTGACGATTATGTAACTTGCGAAAGTATAAATCCTTTTCCTATACTCAGACGTTCCTGAGCCTTGCGCTTTCCTAATTATTTTGACTAAAATTATTAACGTTATCCTTGTATTAGTTAATGGGAAATGCGTGCCGATCAAGTACGTGCCATAAATTAAAGCGACATTGTACGATTCCGAACTTATCACGATACAGTGTTTATGAATCATTGTCAAATAGTGGTGACATGGTGGAAACAATACGCGAAATCGCGCATGCACAGAACAGAAAATTTGGACAAGGCATTAAGCAATCCGCATGCGCAGAACGATTGATTTCAGTACTTCTGCTAAGCGCTTCGAGTACAGCGTCAAACTGTAATCTAACACGCGAGAACTGAACAATGAAATCTGAGAAGTAGGAATATCGGTAGACGCTGTTGTTTGATTGACAATGTCAATTGACAATGTCAATCAAGAAAGGGAGGAGCTTGATGATATCGTTATCTCCCAGTAAATTCCGATGTCAAATAACGACGTTATTTGGACATAAAAACGATGGTTTGAAAACATCCAAATAACGTCGTTTTTCCGTCCAATGACCATATTCGGAAAAACGTCGTTTTTCTTGTTTGCAGTGTTAAACGTTAAAAGATTTTGTTTCTTCCACAGAAAACCATCTTGTTACACAGTAAGCCTCGGTGATCCCGCAGCTGAAAAATATGACGTCGTCAAGCTGATTGGCAACAATAAACTCCGGAAGAGGCTCTTGGGATTCTTGACTGTTATCTCTTGGGGAGCTGCAGTCATCTATGACCGCTGTGCCACACACAACACGGAAGAAAATGCACGTGGCTTCTTCCTGACTCCTCTCACGGCTGGCGTTGTCTATGCCGACAGAAAGGGTTACTTAAATAGGCACGCTCTGTTCCAAAATACAAGAACAAATAGCACAAATCGACAGCTGTTTCGATATTGTGCTCAAGATAATGTGAGACCCATGATTCAACAGAAGGTAAGACCCGTTTTACCCGGAAATCCACAAACGTCAACACACCTGCAGTCACTTAAACAGGTATACAACAGACTCCCACCTGTATTCCTCCCTGACCACGTGTACACAGACTTAGATGACGTCCCCACTATATACCATGTGGCAGGGTTCTGGTCCATGGGGATGTTGTTCCTGCCGTCTAGCCTGGGGGTGGGGCAGGTTTTGTCACAGAGGCTGCTGTGGGAGGTTGGAGGAGCTGTAGGACTTATACCAAAATGGGACAACCACCAACACCTGTATCGGACAAGGAACACATCCCGAGTTATGAAATCACTGTTGAAAGATGTAATGGATCCATGGGACTGTGAGATGGACAGCACATTGTTCCAATGTGTGAAAGAGCTGATTTGGTACCTTCTGGACCAGAATATGATGACGACTGATGACAAAGACCTGCTCCAAGCCTGGCTGTCGGATCTAGAAGCCACTGGCTACAGAGAACCGAAAAGGGTGAATTTTGAATTACATTGTCCGAGGACATTGACCGCTACCTCTGGGCTGATGAGACCACCTTTGCTTTCAACAAGACTGTCTGACACCTCCAACATATCTGCCACGATGACCTCTTTGTGCCCGCAACTCACGTATTCATCATCACCTGCATCGGTCATCACAGACATTGCTCTCATCATCACTTTCAACTCTGACAAATTCTATCACAATCTTCCTCTTCTAGAAGCAATTCACAGACGATACTTTGCTCACATCATCTACTGCGGCCCAAGACAGGACCGATTCAAGGCCAAGATCATCGAATCCATCGCCTCGTCGAATATTCTCTATATAGAGGGCATTAAAGAAGGTTGGTATCATATGTGGGAGTGTCTGACCTTGACCTCCAAGTTTAACCTTGACGTTAGAGGTTACCTACAGATCGCGGACGACACTCTCTTGAACTCGTGGAATATCGCGGACCTACCACGTGACAGGATATGGATGCCTTCTCACGGGCATTTAGACCGACGGGATGCGGAGAACGTACAAGATGGATGGGTTTGGTGGAAGCATGAATTCGGTCAGAAGGCTGTTAATCGTGCTATGGACACGGTGGTCAGGATACACAACAACGAACCGGGAAATAACCACGTGAGCAAATTCGTGAAAACGTATACTGTCAACTCTGGGGATATGAGTCATGTGTATCATAGTTCGTGTGACGTCATGTATATTCCGTCCAAGATGGCCGACCAGTTCCGGTATTTGGCAGCCATTTTCCGTAAGGAGAGAGTAAATGTGGAGCTGACATTTCCAACTCTAGCGCATGGTCTTGCGCATAGTGCTGACATCTATATGATTCAGGGGGAAATACTCTGGGGTAAACATCGACGAAAGTATATGGAGATTTATCATGAATATTTGCACTCGCTTCATCCATATAAACTATCACATGAGGTTAACTCGACAGAGGGCCGAAAATTTCTGTGTGGAGTCTATATGCCTTTGCAGGGTGAACATCTTGCGTTGCTTAGTGACCAGACCAACAACAGGAAATAATTCGTTTCATAAGATACTGTAAAAATGTTTTCGCCTTAGCTCATACATTTACAATGTTAGGAAAACATAAATGTACTGTTTCTTCATCTAGACGCCTCGAAGCACTGAACGAAAACGTCTCGTGACGTCTTAAACGTCATGTTTTTTCCACCAATGCCACTTTATTAGGATCTCTATTCGAAAGTACGCTTGCTATAGTTTAGATATCAACTCTATTTTGGATATAGTACATGTAGTTTAATATTGGTTGCACATATCCAATAGAAGTGTTTATCATATAATGGGTAGGTTTCTCGGCAGGATAAAGCCAACGGATAAAAACGATATCCGTTGGGGTCATATGCGGATAGAGATGCAAATATCAAAGGTCACGTAGGGACTACTTTCACTGATTATAAACAAACACGGCGTCGCACTCGTCATTCGGCGATCGAGTCAGAATTAACCATCCGGAATCTGGATAAACTACAGAGATAATTGCTATCATTATCAAAAGAACAGTCTAATATACTGAAAATCGGTGTCTAACTGTGACGTAGCTAAGGCATTTTATAAGTTTTGGCAACTTTGGAGATATACATTTCGAAACAATTTGGCGAGGGCACGAGACCTAGCCAAGCGGGATCAGTAGCCATATCTGTGCTTGTAGACCTCTGCGGCTTGAAACCTCCTCCACAAATTAAAATAGTTGGATTTGGCGGAAATATGTTTGAAATTTTACCTTGTTTCGTTTTGTCGCTGTGTGTACATCTGACAACACTTCCTATCGTTATGACAGGACAGACCGACTGTCAACAACATCTGACCGTGGCCGTGACGTCTCATAGACTAGGGTTAGAGTAGTTTCCCTTTGACAAAGGGCAGTTACTCTAGCGGACAGACCGATGGATTGTCGCGAAAGACAATTAAAAACAATTGTTGTTTTTGCGTATATGTTGCTTCGCCACTGTATAAGAAACATATTTCAGTTGGAACTATATTGGCTACTCTCACTGTCCGACTGACACATCACTTACCCTGTGACGTAATAAATATTAATGCGCGCATTCCAGGAAAACTCGCAATGTTTCGGTAATGTTTGTGAGTGAGGGAAAGCGATTTTGAAGCACATAATTAAAGAATGACATTATATGATAAAGAGGTTATCACGCTTGTGTGTTTGGGGATGGTAAATATTCTGTATTAGGAATAAACACTATGTATTTAGCTCGCCAAGGCTCGCTAAATACAATGTTTATTCCTAATGCAGGATATTTACCATCCCCAAACACACTCGCGTGATAACCTCTATCTATACAACATCTGTTGATTTACACACTTGTTTGTAGTTTCCTTACAGTTACATAATATATTTATCCACCGTCACCGATTCAAAGGCCTGTTCATAATTTATGCATCTTTCTTTGTATCCTTGGTCAAGGTAAGTTGGTGATTTGGCATTTTCATCTTTAACGAAACAATTCTGAAATGTGGATAAAAAGTTCTATAACAACGTAATATCAAGTTCGCAGCACTTTGCTGTAAATGATGAATTGTTTTCCACGTACAGATATCCAGATATCCTGTGATTCATTTTTGTTCTGCAAATGTCGTTCTGTGCTTGGAATCCAGATTGGATGGTCCCTTGAAACTCCTGAAATGAATGTACTAATGTAATGTATGTATAACTAAAAGAGACAAAATAAAAGGCAAACCTGTTGGTAGCTATAGCATCGAGTACAACCATTGTATTCAGTACATCAGTACATCAGTACATAAAATTAGATCAGATTGCAATCATAAACTGCAGCACTGTCCAGAACCTTGTCATAGCCAATTATTGACTTCCTTCTTGAGGCCTTGGTTGACCTACATTTATCTGCGGAAATCCTGTGTGTTCTTCTTCACTACTTATCAAGTTGACCGCCTCCGTGGTCTAGTGGTAGAGCGTCCGCCCGGAGAGCGGAAGGTCCGGGGTTCGATCCCGGGCCGCGTCATACAAAAAAGACGTTAAAAGATTGTACTTGTTTTTACCCTGTCTGGCGCTCGGCATTAAGGGGCTAAAACAAGGACTGGTTGGCTCGGAGTCAGTATACTGTGTCTGAGTGGGGTATTCATGTTAAACTGCGGCATGGTATCTCAGTGAGCTAGCACTATAAATCGGCATCAGTCCGGACTAGTACAAGCAGCCACACACACACATACACGTGCATGCACGTCGCTATATAAGTGCAATAATCTTGGACGCGACGTTAAACCCAATTTCACCTCACCTCACCTTACTTATCAAGTTGTCTCTCTAAAAGCTGCTATCATGATTTCATTGATGTACCAAGTAGTAAGCGCAATCGTCTAGTTAATTGGTGGACATGTACATTGTGACCGTGCTTTTCTCCCACATTAAGCTTTATATATATATACAGTAAACTACGGTTATAACGAACACGCTTATAACGAACTGACGGATATAACGAACTTACTTTTTTGGTCCCGACTATTTGCTGTAGTTATGCTGTATATATGCTTATAACGAACTACGGTTATAACGAACTAAAATTGGTAGTCCCTTTGAGTTCGTTATAACCGTACTTTACTGTATGATAAAACTGGATCACTGCACATCTTCCTTTAATGTATTCATGTCTATGTTTCACGAATATTCCCCTAGATTTTTCGAGTACACATGTGATTAAGCATTTTGATCAATCATTATGCTATTTATAACCATGTCAAGCCATCTCATAGACTTGATGGTCTATCTCTACAACCTGTTGAATACTTATGATATGTTATGATTTTCAAATGTTTGTGTATGATGTTTTTTATTAAATAATAGGGTCAACCGACCCATTGTCAGCATTTACACTGAGGTCAAATTGAAACACTAATGCCATTTTCCACTTTTCAATCACTGATAGTAGTAGTAGTAGTAGTAGTAGTAGTAGTAGTAGTAGTAGTAGTAGAAGTCTCGTTTTCATGCCACCTCCGTCCGATCACACTGATATCTCGCCGTAGCCTGTGAACAGACAATCGCGCAGTGCATGATTAGCCATCTGTTTTGGTTCAACAGCATGTTCGCTTAATCAATAAGAAGCTAGTCATTGTGAAGGACAATATGATAGGTACGACGTCCAGGGCGGTCGCATTCATATAATCATTGACTATCTAACTTCGAAAGAGGCTTAAAGCTCCTGTCGGCGTCGCCAACTTGATTGCTTCGCTGAAGTCATCATTGCAGTGTCTGGCACTCTGGCGTGTGGTGGATGTTTTGCGCGAAACAAACAGTTTGACGAATCGGCCGATTTTTTTGTATGTGAAGATTCACAGTGATGTGTGGACCTTCCTATTTCTAACCTATTTCCGACGCAGTGAACACAAGCAGGAGCTTTATTTGCGGTCCAACTCGACCAGATCAGGCTGGAGGAACATTGGGCCATTGTTAAGATAATTGCAAGGATAACTTGCTCAAATCAGTCAGGATGGCACTGAGGATTCGTAAAGGTAGATTGTTGTCCTGGTGGGATGTTCAGGGTCGTTAGTTTATCACTAATGGTTCATTTATCTATCAGCTTTATGAATCATGAATTCTTAGAGCATGGTACATTACCATACACATGATGGCGACCCGTGAAGATCCGGGGTAGAATAGGTCTTCAGTAACCAATGCTTGCAGGAAAAGACGACTATGCTTGTCGTAAGGGGCGACTAGTGGGATCGGGTGGTCAAACTCGCTGATGTGTCAGAGGTTGATGTGTAATATTTGGCAGGATGACGGTATATCATTAAGCAGCACATTACATTTTGTCATAATTATAATCTGCCGTCGTGTTTGTTTTTTTGCGTTTTTTTGGTTTGTGGTTTAACGCTGCACTCAGCAATATTCCAGCTATATGACAGCGGTCTGTAAGTAATCGAGTCTGGACCAGAGAATCCAGTGATTAATATCATGAGCATCGATCCACGCAATTGGGATCGATGACATGTATGAACCAAGTCAGCGAGCCTGAAAACCCGATCCCGTTAGTCGCCTTTTACGACAAGCATAGTCACCTTTTACGGCAAGCATGGGTTGCTGAAGACCTATTCTACCCCGGAATCTTCACGGGTAGACAAGGTAAGGATATCATCTGTGGAACGTGCTCAGCCCCACGTTGGGCGCCAATGTAGCGGCTATAAAATTTTCAAGTCCCGTGATGGGATTCGAACCACGGACGCCGCACTCAGCAATATTCCAGCTATATGACGGCGGTCTGTGAATAATCGAGTCTGGACCAGACAATCCAGTGATTAAAATCATAAGCATCGATCCACGCAATTGGGATCGATGACATGTATCAACCAAGTAAGCAAGCCTGACCACACGATCCCGTTAGTCGCCTTTTACGACAAGCATAGTAGCATTTACGGCAAGCATGGGTTGCTGAAGACCAATTCTACTGTAAACAAATTTGAATGAAGGTGAGTTTGCTTACAACCTTTTGTTCACAAACACCGTATGCTTCATTCATATTTTAGTCAATTCCATATATGACTAGATGTCTAGTCAACTAAAGTCTATCCAGTTTATCCTGGAGACGGTCGAATTGCTCGTGCCCATCGTGTGCGGACTTCGATGTTCATTTCTTATGTTTTTCACTTTATATATAAATTAATATAGTGCAAACTTCACTGCTGAGTATAATTTTACAAACTTTAATTGACATAAGTTACAATTATTATGTTATAGGTCACAATTGCCACATACATGTTTGGCTGCTGTCTATATAATACCATCCGCTAATACTCCACTATGAAATAAATCATATATATCGATTCTAGACCCATAAATTTTACGTTTATAGA